ATTTTTGCTTTTAAAATCGAATGGCGGCTAATATTTAGTTGATCTTTTGGAACATTGTATGCATTGTTATTTGATTATAATAACAATTTTTAGTATAAGTTGGTTTGAGTCCCATTTTTTTTACGTAGAATGCATTTTGGAATAGTACTTCTCTGTGTGTGTGTGTGTGTGTGTGTTTTAGAGTTAAGTATTTAAAGGGTGTTTGAGAGTGATTTTTCACCTCAAGAAATTGATTTTTTGACTGTTATTTCACTATTCTAACAGTAAAGTTTGACTTCTTCTCTCACACGTGACTTCCACTTTTCTTCTAACGGTTAAAATATCAATTCTCAAGATCACTCCCAAACGGGGCCTTAAGTTAGCCGTTGGTATCATAAACACATATATTTTGCATGTATAATAACATTTTATTTTATTTTTTTGCGTGGGGGAGGGGGGCTAATTTATGAAGTTCGCCCCCAAACCCTCGTAATTACAGAACCAACACTAGAGAAGAGGAATAATTGGTGAGAAGCGTTGTCCTGGTGAAGTTCCGGCAATGTAATTCGGGGGAATGGAGCTCAAGAAAAAACCAAATGAGTGGGCTATTAAGATTGTGACCCAGATTACCAAAACAAAGTATGTAAATGCTTGAACTATTGAGCAAAGTCCCACCAAGAAATAGACCCTCTATAAGATATGACGATAACTGTTAACCCCGCTTGAAGTTTCTCTCAATAAAATTGGTTTTTCATTGATGAAATTGGTAAATGATAGAGTGAAAGCAAAGAGGCCAAATCTCTTCTCAATTCCTAATTTATCGAATTGGATATTGATGTAAATTGTACCTAGAACAAGGCCAACTCCCAGTGCATGTATGGTGTTTGTGAAATGGTAACTTTGTATTATATATATAAAATAAATTTTATAAAAAAAAATATAAGTCTTTTTTATTTAAAAAACGTTTTTTTAAATAAGCTTTTATTTTATTTTATTTTTCTAATTGATTTTTTTAAATAAGTTTTAATTTTATTTAAAAATAATTTTTAATTGTTTTTATATTATTTTTTGAAGTAATTTTTTTTTTTAAAAGTGATTATTGTGAAGCATTATATAAAATTGGGTGGCAATCGTGAAACATTATATTAAATTAGGTAGCCATGGGACATCATTTAATTAAATTAACTTATATTAAATTAGTTTATAATAAGCACCGATAACATGTCACATCATTTAATTGGTGAATCGTTAAATACATGTGACATACTATTAACTTATTCATCAATTAAATAATATGTCATGTCATCGATGTTTAATATAAATTAAATAAATGTGTCATGTCCCATATATTTAATGATTTATCAATTAAATGATGTGTCGTGTCACCAGTACTTAATATAAGTTAGACACTAGTATTTAGGAGATCATTTTTGATATACTTATCATTTTACCCCTTTCAAAATTTTGTGGAAATGGTGAAAAGAAGTTGAATGATCATGATAAAATATTATGTAAAATTGAGTGCCAATCGTGAAACGGTATATTAAATTTGGTAGCCATCTTAAAATAAAATCAAATTTGACGACCATAATGACACTACATATAAAGTTGGATTGTCAAGATAAAACAAAATCAAATTGAGTAGTCATGATAACATGACGTGTAAAGTTGGCGGTCATTAATGGATTTAACCCATTGTGCTGATATATTACAAATATATTTTCAAAAGGACAATTATGGGGACAATTATTTCGGGGGGCATTTTTAAGAATGCTCAATTTTAAGGGTATGGGTTGAAAAATGTCTACTCAATTGAATTTAGTGCCAACTTGTCTATTATACCCTTAAAGAAAAACTACATTTTAAAATAGTATTCTTGACATTTTAAATGTCGTTCTCGACATTTTATTTTTTTATCAATTTATCACGAATTTTGAAAAGTGACTTCCATGAGAAGTTACATTAAAATAATATTTTTCGATATTTAATATGTCATTTTTGACATTTGAACACCGTTTCATTTGTCTAGAATGATATTTCATTTTGAATATGACATTTCTCTACATTTAAAAATGTCGTTCTTGACATTTCTGAATCAATGAAAAACATAGCATTTATTGTGATATGACATGTATACTTTTTGAAATTAATATGATAGGTTATGTGTCAAAATTTTATTGGCTAATAATAATATTGCAAAAATGTCCATTTTTGTCTTGTGTGGAATTATAAATTGTTAATAAGGGCATTTTGCTCTCAATTCTTCAAAATTATACATTTTTGCAATGGTGGACATTTTTGCAAATGACTAGGTAAAAATGGAAATTTTGTGGAATTTCCTCTTATTTTGGATTATCATGTCAAATAAGTATAATGATGTGTAGGTCCATGAAATGATGATGAAATATTAAGCTCTTGTTTGGTGGGATAAAGATCAATTTTTTAGTAAATTTTGATAAAAGTTAATGAAATGTGTGATTAAAATATTGTTAGACCATAAAATGTGGGATTGAAATGAATTATTAACTTTGACTTGGATTAAAATTTTAATTTTAATTGATACCAAACTAGGGTTAAATCAAGAACTCAAAGGCTTGGGAAAATCATACCCCACAATACCAAGTAATAAAGGTTCACTTGTGCATATAAAATTTGGTCGACCTTGCTACATGTGTATCAAATTTTATATAATGGGTCACATAATGTTATACGTAACTCTATCATTTGTTAATTTAAAATAAATCAACTTTTTAATACAATCTTTCCCTTCTACATCATTTTATTTAATCTTTTATGTACAAATATTATATTTTTCAAATTTTTGTATCATAGTTGTACGAGCATTTTGTTCGAGAAAGACTTAGAATTATTGTCTATCACAACACGAGTTGAAAAAGAAATTAAAAAAAGTACATTATCGGTATACGTTAAAATAATTCATAAATGATGGTTCAATTATTTTGAAAAACATAGGCCCTATCGTGCTTATTATTTTCATTCCTAACATAATATTTATGATAAATTTTATTGTGCTCTATCATAAAAACTTGGAGTGCATTTCGTGGCAAAAGTAAGGTAAAATTTTGTAATCATGTTATTTTAATTTATGATTAACGTCGGTGGATAGGTGTGGCACAATAACATAATCTGTTTGGAATAATTTCCAGTAGGGGTGGGCGTAGATCGGTTCGGTTCTCCGAACCAAAATTTTCGGGTATTTAGTAAATGGAACCGTCGGATCCATATATAATTATGGAACCGTTCGGGTTCGGTTCTGTTCGGTTCTATACTATAATTAAATTTTTTAACATTTATAACAACATTATATAAATACAACTAATGACATATTCAATGATTTTGAAATGTTAGATACTAGTAGACTACTTTGTTCAAATGATCGCTACGGTCAAAATTTCAGTTGGCGGAAGTCACTGCTTCGATCGGAGGTCACAGTGTCGATCGACGATTGTTTAGGTTTTGGAATGTCAACGAAACTGTGAGAGTCGAGACAGCGTTATACACTTTAGTGTAAGTATTTATAGTTATTTAGTGGGTTGGATCTTATTGAGTTAAGAAATGAGACAATAAAATGGGTTATTGAGCCAAAAATTAAAAAATTAGAAATGAAACAAATTATTGGGCAAAAAAATTGGATTTAAAAATTGTTAAATTGTTATTTTGTTTAGAAAAAATTAGAAAGATTCGTTCTTATTCGGTTCTTAGTCTAGAACTGAGAACCGAATCGTACCTGTCAGTTCTCAATTCAGATACCCGTTCGGGTATTTAATTTGACAAGAACTGTCGGGTTCGGTTCAGTTCGGTTCGATCGGTTCGGTTCAGGAGATTTGCTCAACCCTAATTTCCACATCTAGAAGAATTTTTTGAAAGAAATAAAATAAATATGATTTCAACATCTCAGGAGAATGGATGGAGAGAAGTTTTGAAAGTTCAAAAGAATGTGAAATAGGGAACGAGCTATGGATGGTAAAAATACCCGTAAAACTCGATACTTGTGGGGTCCCCTCCTAAACGAGGTGAAGATTACCTACTTAATCAGATAATTAGGTTGGTTACGGAGTGAAAAATTTCGCCCCCGAGGCAAATACCAGGAAGGGTACGAGTAACAAGGGTCCTACTTCGTTTATTTCTTTATTTATTATAAAGAATTCAAATATTTAATGGAAAAATTTCACGAAATTTCATTAAACCTAATAAAAAATGACCACTAAGGTTATCTAACAAATATGATAAATAATAAAAACATTAATTTATAAAATATATACGAATAATTTAATTTTTAATTAAAAATTTAATACCTATATTATTGTTTCATTTAAATAAATGTGAACAATAAAATGATTTATAAAAAACCATAAAAAATTAAATGAGTATGTAAATGGGACAACAGGTCCAGCACTAGATTGGGCATTTATCATCATGATAGTTAAGAGTGAGTTCAACAATCAAATTAGAAAATGTTTGTTACCCGTTACTATATATATACTTTTTTTATAGATTGATGAGGAGTTAAAAGGACGTAGATAATATTATTTATTTATTTTTATTTGGTAAGATTTTAGTCCAATTAAATCTCGTAATATAGTCAGTTGATAAATTAAGCTCATGTTTGAGCCACATTCTAGTAAAAAAAAATGTATTATTCATGTCAAATCAATGATAAATGTGTGACTAAAAGATAAAGAAAAATTTTAAATTTACGTATAATATTATTTTATTAAAAAATACGTGATTAAAATAATGTCAAATCACTATTAAATAATATATATTTTTTGAAAATAATGTAACTCAAACAAGTCTTAATTTGTAAGTTGTGATTTTCTTATAGTACAATGGAATAAAATTTACCAGGTAAAAATTGACAAACAAACAACGTTAAACTTTGCGGTCAAATCAAAGGGAATACTAACTTCTCCGAAATATATGCTCTATGAATATTCCCATGTGCCATTGTTCATTTACTTCGTCTAGCCATCGAATATTCTCAAAAAATTCCACCTACACGCGCGCTTGCGCGCGCATATATATATACACACACACTATGCACCCTAAATACCCATCTTCGCTATTCTTCATCTTCTTCTTTTTTCGGTTTTCCTTCCAATTTTGAGAGTTTTTATAGGGTGTGTGAGGGAACATGAAGTTTTGGAAGATTTTGTGCAATCAGATAAATGAAACATTGCCAGATTGGCAAGACAAGTTCTTATCGTATAAAGATTTGAAGAAACGGCTGAAACTGATTTATCCCAAACAAGGGTCGTGCAATAATCATGAAAATAGTGACATTTATACTAATGGGAGGCCAAATAAACGGCCCAGATTGAGTGATGATGAAAAGGAAGTTGGAGATTCTGTGTGTGGAGGTGATGATGATGGGGATGAGGTGACAAAAGAAGTAACTGATTTTCTAGAGCGTTTGGAAAAGGAGATCGAGAAATTTAATAGGTTCTTCGTCGATAAAGAAGAATTTTACATCATTAGATTACAGGTTTACCTTCTTCTTTATTATTTTTATTTTTTTGGTACTGTATTATTTTATGTTTTACGAGTATTCAATTTTTGCGAGTTTTTTTTTTTTTTTTTTTTTTTTGTCATTGTTTCTGTTGGTTTTGGGTAGATTATGCATTTTAGGAATCAGTAAATTGCACCGAAAAAAAGAGAGAGAAAAGGAAAGAAATATTTATATAAAGCTAAGAAAATAGTAGATAAAACAGAGATAATTTATATTAAATAACATGGTATTTTAATGGAATTCGTGTGGCCTGTACTGATTAAAACCTTTCTTACTATTTGGGTTTCGGTTGAATACAGATGCTAAAAGAAGAGGTTGCAGAAGCTAAGGATTCAGAGGTAGAGCTGATGAAAATAGGAAGAAAGATAGTAGATTTTCATGGAGAGATGATTCTGCTGGAGAATTACAGTGCTCTAAACTATACAGGTTCCTGGCACTTTTTATGCCTTAATATTTGTAAATGGCTTGCTCCCTCTCTCGAATGTGCATAGTTATGTTGAGTAGATGGTTGTTATGTCTGATAATTGCTATGTTAGCAGTTAAAATATAAGAGTTTTTGTTATCTATCTGCTCATCGTAAGCGGTTACCATAGCATTTTATCTCTTAATCTGATCAGAATTTAATCAGGAGCTTTCTTGACTCGGGCATATGTATTTAAGATTAGAAGGAAGTCTTTTTGCAACCAAAGTAGAAGATGAACCCTCTATTTTTATATTATTGGAACTTTCACATTTGAACTGCACTCATTTGTTAGACCAAAATAGCAGGCTCGGATGACCAACATGGTAAAAAAGCATTGTTGTTTTCAGTTTGCCGAAAATTGGAAGATGTACTTTGAGTGGATTTATAACTCTACTCACATATTACTGTTAACATGTTCATCACCATGAATCTTGAGGCACTGCTACACCTACATGAAGTTATGGGAAATAAAGGTTCCTACTTGATGCAATATGAACCAGTAAGAGTGATTTTTTCTTCAAATTCTTTTTATATAGACTTCCCTATCAAAATGTTATGGATGAGATGGTTTTCTTTCTCACTTCCGGTAAGGGGTGAGGTTATCTTTTGACTGAGATTAAGCAGAGGTGAAGAATAAATGTTTTTCCAGATTATATTGGGATCTTTTTAAAACTAGTAAAATATCTTGTTTTTATTGGATAGAACATTTTCTGGAGCTTTTTAATATTTTCCATATTTTTTTCTTTTATTAGAGTGCAATCCACTCATACACTTATAATAGATATGTCGATGGACTTAATTGATCGTTTTGGTCCTTGATTGAGTTCCAGAGTATACTTCCTTGTATGCAGGGACAACCCTTTCTATTTTAATAAACGAAATTTATCAAAACATGGAGAAGAATATCCTATGTTGAAGAGGACTGGTTAAACAACCACACACACACACACACACACACAGAGCAATACTTTTATGGTTCTTCACATTTTGTTTCTGCAAACCAATGGTTGATCCAGATCATCCATTATGTTAATTGGGGAAAATTGAAAGCACAACTTCTATTAGATATTTGTCAAGAATGAGGGAGATATGGAAAGAGAGGTGACAGGAGTGTTGTGAAGTGCATAAGTGAAAGAGAGATCGAGATGGACAACCTTCTTTTATGATTGTGAGGCAGCGAGCGAGAAATCTTTTTGTGCTTTTCCCTTTTCTTTTCCATTTGAAAATTCCTTGTACTGTTTTCTTTATAATTGCCTGTTTCTTCAAATTTGAACAAGACATCCATTCAAATTAGCGAGTCTTTCTTGGCAATTGCATTGGAGATACCTCATAATTCCTCAAAAGTGAGTGGAGATGAGGAATTGCCTAGTCAATGCAGCCTAAGATGTCCTTAAGATGTGCAAGCTAATCAAATACTTTTATTCATGTAGTAATTATGAAAGTGATGGTATTCTATCTGAGGGTAAACTTCCATAGTGGTACAGATCCTATTCATGATTGCTCTTAGTGGAATCTAGGGAGACAATTATTGATGAGGATTGAGTTCAGAAATTGTTGATAGGTAGAAAATATCTCTTTTTTTTTTTTTCTTTTTTTTTTTGCTTTTACTATTTTGCGGAGGGTAGTGTTCCCATGACTAGTCACTGATTCCATTTGAGCAGAAATTTTTATGGGATCCGATATACACATGTTAGGAAGTCAGGGTTCATAATTTCTGAACTTTATTGGTTTTCTGGCAGGACTAGTGAAGATTTTGAAAAAATATGACAAGCGAAGTGGGGAACTCATGCGACTACCTTTCATACAAAAGGTTCTGCATGAGCCATTCTTTCGAACTGAAGTTTTAAATAATCTCGTGAACGATTGTGAGATAATGATTTACGGCATCTTCTCATGGCACGAGCAATTGACCCCACCAGAAGAGATTGGTCAGAAAGAAGGTTGCAGTGACTGGGCTGCGACTGAGGATTCAGAAAAACTTCTTAGACTGCCTGAAGAACTTTCAGCAATTGAAAACATGGAAAATATGTACATGAGGCTTACTATGTCAGCCTTACGGACTCTGAGGGAAATCCGAAGTGGAAGTTCCACTGTAAGCATGTTCTCATTGCCACCCATGCAAGGTCATGACTTGGATGAATTTGGGAAGTAAAATCCTGTCACGGAGCATGAAGCTAAGAAACCTAGTGTTATTATACTTTTGGTTATGATATTTCCTTCTTGAAGCCCATAGTCTTGTTAGCTCTAGGTTTTTCTGTAAACATTACATTTGAAACTCAAAAGTACCACAAACCTCCATATCAAGCCTTTGTTCTGAAAATCAAGGAAGGTTTGTGGAGCTACTATATGTACTTGAATGTCATTTTGTAGAGGTTAATCACTTGTAATATTTTCCATCTGATGCTGTTTTGTTTCTTTGTCATGCTGTTTAGCTCGATAATTTATACTTGATGAAAGAAGAATGTTTGTAACATAATATTACAGTGTTGAGCTAGTGTGAAAATTGCATTATCTTCTCATTGCTTGGTTGCGAGTCTTTATGCAGACTTTCATAGTATAGGTAGATTATCATGCTCATCAGATGTTGTGGCATTTTCTCATTACTTTTATATGGGATTTCCACCTAAAGATGATCCTCTCCTACAGGGCCAAACCTGTGATTGTCGGGGTCCAATGCGAGGTCCATAAATTAGGCCTGTTAACTTAAAACTTAACATTAAAACAACAAACAAATATATTATACAAAAGATTTATATTATAAAATAACAAAATCAACAATGTTTTAAACAATTAGTTAAATATTATCTGTGCAATGTCCCGAATTTTTATTACTAGTTGCTAGATTTAATATTAGGACTTAAGTTGGCTATTATTAAAGTCTAAGGATTTTATTAGTTATTGGCCTAGTTAAATGACCATATTGATTACAAGCCAATTGTAACACTCCGACTCCTAGTGGACCGGAACGCTACTTACTTTACTTAGCTTAACCGGTGGTTTAGAAATAAGTGTATACGTTTTAGCGGAAGCCTACATCTTCGAATAATAATTTAAATAACAATACTTCAAATACTTTAAATAAAAATACTGAATCATTTTTCAAAACAACAAAATTTTATTTATTTGAAGAAAACATAACTTGTTCTTGCATTCTGCGTTATTCAAAACTTTAAAGAAATAATATTGGAAAACATTTCATAAAAATAAATCCAAATTACTTATTCATCGGATTTCCATGGGCTCGTTGCATCACTCTCCATCTTCTACTCCATCCATGCCCGAGGTAGAATTCTTTCGATCTGTAGAGATGAGATTAAACCCGTGAATTGAAAAACTCAATAGGTGTCATAGGTGCATTCGTGATCAAGCTATACATTTCAAAACATTAACTTTATAACTTTTCATACATGCCATACCCGAAGGCACCATTTGACATGAAGGGGTATGCCGTACCCGATGGCACCATTTGACATACGAACATTTTTTCAACATAGAGAGGTATGCCGTACCGGAGTACCATTTGGCATACAACCATTAACATAGAGGGATATGCCGTACCGGAGTACCATTTGACATCCAAACATTAACATGAATCGAAACTTATAACTTAACACGATTAAACACATTGCACCTCTTCCTACCTTGATTGATGCTTTTGAAACTTAGAAAACTTGGATTGAAAACTTCGATGAAACTTGGATGTTGAAAGAAATGCACTCATTGGATGTTTGAAAACCGTTGAGAATTGATGCTTGAAAACACTTATTAAACTTTTAGGAAAAATAGTTTTCCTCCCTCTCTTTTTCTCTCTTTTTTTAGTATGTAAAAGCTTTTGCTTTTGCTGTGAGAAAAAATGAGTGAAATGAGATCTCTATTTATAAGTAAATATCCCATAACTTAAAACAAATGAACAGTCGAATTTCATTTAAGAGAGAAAACATGGGTGCCATTTAAGTTTGAGATTAAATGCTTCAATTTAGTGGGGTTTTTATTGCCAAAAACGTGGATGGCCTTTTGAGAAAATAATTGATGAAAATAAATATTTAAATTCTAGAGAAAAACGAGAATTTTCATTTCAGGCAGTTTTGGTCGACCGGTTGTAGTCCGGTTGACACTGCACAGCTTTCAGTATTTCTATCATAACTTCTTCTCCTGATATCCGATTGAGGTAATTCAAAGTGCATTGGAAAGTTAACTCAAAGAGTTACAACTTTTATTGAGATATCATTTTTCAAATCGAATGTTTCCTATATCGAAAATGGGTCTCAAATGAGACTAAAAATCTGAAGTATACTTTAGTCATCCAATATTCATGTCTTAGTGCCACTAAGGTGTCTAGAATTATTTGGGGTTCTACATCCCCCACACCTTAATTAAAATTTCGTCCTCGAAATTTACCTTCTGATTGGGCGAATAGTGTTGGATACTTGTCTTTGGCTTCTTCTTTTTCCCAAGTGGCTTCTTCTCCGCCGTGATGATTCCACTGTATCTTAACCAGCTGAATCTCTTTATTCCTTAGTTTATGCACTTTTCGATCCAATATCTTGATCGGTAATTCCTCGTACGACAAATCTTTCTGTACCTCCAAGGTTTGATAACTCACTACATGATTAGGATCATGTACATACTTCTTTATCATCGATATATGAAACACATTGTGCACTGTCGATAATTCAGGTGATAAAGCTAGTCGATAAGCCACATTTCCGACTCTATCAAGTAACTCGAAAGGTCTGATATACTGGGGTCGTAGCTTACCTTTCTTTCCAAATCTAAGTACACCTTTCATCGGTGCTACTTTGAGAAACACTTTATCCCCAATTTGGAATTCTAAATCCTTTCTCCTTGTATCTGCATAGCTCTTTTATCGATCCTGTGCTGCCTTTATTCTTGTACGGATCTTATCGATTACCTCGACCGTCCTTTCAACTATTTCTGGTCCTAAAACTCTCTTCTCTCCGACTTCATCCCAATGAACAGGGGATCTACATCTTCTACCATAGAGAGCTTCGTATGGTGCCATTCCAATAGTTGCTTGGAAACTGTTATTATAAGCGAACTCTACCAGAGGTAAGTATGACTCCCAATTACCTCCTAGATCCAAAACACATGTTCTCAGCATGTTTTCCAAAGTTTGGATGGTCCTTTCAGACCGACCATCGGATTGAGGGTGATATGCTGTACTAAAATTCAGCTTCGTTCCCATAGCTCCTTGGAGACTTTTCCAAAATTTGGACGTGAACCTTGGGTCTCTGTCAGACACAATGGATACAGGTACACCGTGTAATCTCACAATCTCTTTAATGTACAACTGTGCCAATTGGTCTAAACAGAATGTCATTTTCACTGGAAGAAAATGAGCTGACTTCGTTAGTCGATCCACTACTACCCATATAGCATTATTTCCTCTTGCTGACTTCGAGAATCCAACCACAAAGTCCATCGTGATATTTTCCCATTTCCATTCAGGTATATCTAGTAGATTTAACAATCCAGCTAGTTTTTGGTGTTCTGCCTTAACCTATTGACATACCATGTACTTCTGCACGTACAGCCCTATACTTCTTTTCATATTTCTCCACCAAAATGTATCTCGAAGATCTCGATACATTTTCGTACCACCGGGATGTGCGGTGTACCGGGTGGAATGAGCTTCTTTTAATATCTTGTTTCTCAAGGCTTCATCCTTAGGCACGCAAATTCTTCCTCTAAATATCAGTGCCTGATCCTCAGCTATTCCAAAGTCCTTTTTCTTATCGGTACCAACTTCATTCTTAATCTTCTGCAAAAATGAGTCTTTATTTTGTGCTTCTATAATTTGATATCTAAGAGTAGGTCGAATTATTAAAACTGCTAGACGAGCAGTGTCTTGTCCTGGTGTGGTAACCACTTCGATCTGCAACTTTTCCAAGTCCTTGACTAACTCCACTTGAGAGGTGGGTAGTGACATCAATTGTCCCATTGATTTTCTACTTAGAGCGTCGGTCACAACATTAGCCTTACCCGAATGGTAGTGAATAGTGCATTCGTAATCATTCACCAATTCCAACCAATGTCTTTGTCGCATATTCAATTCCTTCCATGTGAAGAAATACTTGAGACTTTTGTGATCTGTGTAGATATCACACTTCTGTCCATACAAGTAGTGTCGCCATATCTTCAAAGCGTGTATTACCGCTGCAAGTTCTAAATCATGCGTCGGGTAGTTCTGCTCATGTTTCTTCAATTATCTTGAAGCATAGGCTATCACTTTTCCATTCTGCATTAGTACAGATCCCAATCCTCGCTTGGATGCGTCACTGTATATAACAAACCCTTCCGTACCTTCAAGTATTGTTAATACAAGTGCTGATATCAACTTCAGCTTAAGTTCTTGGAAACTTTGTTCGCATTTTTCCATCCATTGGAATTTTACTCCCTTCCTTGTAAACTGCGTCATTGGTCCAACTATTTTGGAGAATCCTTCTATGAATCTCCTATAATATCCGGTCAATCCTAGAAAACTCCGTATTTCGCCAGCATTTGTTGGTGCTTTCCAGTTGGTTACTGCTTCTACTTTTGTTAGATCTACTTCAATCCCTTGGGCAGTAACTACATGTCCAAGAAATCCAACTCGTTCAAGCCAAAACTCGTACTTCTTGAATTTAGCATACAGCTTCTCCTTGCGTAATAACTCTAAGGCTATTCTCAAGTGCTCTTCATATTGCTCCTTACTCTTGGAATATATCAGAATGTCATCGATTGACAAACTGATCCAAGTATTGATGAAACACTCGATTCATCAGGTCCATGAACACTGTAGGTGCATTGGTTAGCCCAAACGGCATCACCGTAAACTCATAGTGTTCATATCGAGTTCTAAAAGCTGTCTTAGGTATATCCTTTGTCTCTACTTTCAGTTGATGGTATCCCGATTATAAGTCGATCTTGGAAAATACCTTAGCTCCTTTCAGTTGATCTAACAGATCCTCGATCCTCGGGAGTGGGTACTTATTCTTGATGGTTAATCAATTTATCTCCCTATAATCGATCCACATCCTCATACTTCCATCTTTCTTCTTTACAAACAATACCGACGCACCCTATGGAGATATGCTTGGTCATATGAAGCCCATATCTAGGAGTTCTTGCAACTGCTTCTTTAATTCTTGTAGTTCCTTTGGGGCCATTCGGTATGGGGCCTTAGATACTGGTGCCGTCCTGAGAATTTGGTCTATGGTGAATTCCACTTGTCTATTGGATGGAATACCAGATAGATCTTCTAGAAATACATCTATGAATTCCCGTACTACTGGTACATCTTCAACCCTTATCGTCTCTTGTTTCCCTCTTGAGATACTTACGAGATAACCTTGACATGTTTCTTTTCTCAATATCTTCTCAGCTTGTAAAGCCGATACTAGTCAAATAAGGGGTTTCGTCTTCATTCCAAGGAACGAAAATGGTTCCTCTCCTGGTTTCTGAAATGATACTTCC